GTGTATACAAGTATCTGGATAATCTCACAAGCGTTCTAGACGAAAACCAAAACATTCAATGCTTGAGCCCGTGATATTATTTTAGTTTTTGCTGGTCCAGTTTCTGGTTCAAACCCAACGTAAGGTTCGGCTTGTGAACCTGTCCCACGTATGGGATATGTGGCAAAATCTTAATCAAATTTGAACTGTACCAGCCAAAACTGACAGTCCAGATTGCAGATTGGGCGAGCTTCGTCTGATTGATTAAGAATCTATGCATAGTTAATGGACTCTGAAAATGGCGCTTTCGATGCGCAGCACACACCGCTAGGGTATCAAAATAACGTTGTATATCAAAATAGAATGAAAATAAATTGAAATAAAAAAAAAAAATAATAATAAAAAAAAATAGTCGTATATATGCAGGAAAATGAAACTGGGGAGCAGCAGAGTGCAGCGCTGAAATTGTTCAAGCCAGCCAACTTGGGTCCTTCGTCAATTTCGAGTCCTGCAATGATTGACTGCCCCAACACAAATACAACACAGTTGTGTGTGTGAGTGTGAGTGTGAGTGTGTGTGAGTGTGTGTGTGTGTGTGTGTGTGTGTGTGTGTGTATGGAAAGGCCTCAGCTCTAAATTCAATTGAAGCTCTTAGCTCGGGCTCAGCTTGGCTGGCGTCGAAGCTGACGTTCCAGCAAAATGAAGAATTTTGTGTGCATTTTTCTAGAGCAGCTGCACGTACAAAGCGACCGAAGTGGGCAAGTAGGCGTGGCAGGCCAGGGGGGCTGGTGTGAGGTTGGGTTTGTTGTGCAGGGAGGTATCTTGGCATTGCGGCTGGGCAACAAACCAACATAAAATTGTTGTGCTAAACATAAAAACCAAACGGAAAACGACATGAAAATAGAAAAATAAGGCAAAGAAGCAGAACGAACAGAAGAGAAAAAAATAACATGCACACACACGCGCGCACACACACACACACACACACATTGAAAAATATCATGAAATATGTAAGGTAAACTAAGTGAAAAAAGAAAAGAAGACACAAAGTGAGGCTGAGACTAAAACTGAGGCTAAGACGCAAACGGCAACCAAACTAGATGCAAGTTCCAAGTTCTGTGCTACGAATTTTGATGCACTCGCCACACACACACACACACACACACACATGTGTGTGTGCAACACAATAAGGATGCCAAGCACAACATGCTGCAAGTTGGGGGGCTGCTGCGGCGCTTGGGTCACTGCCACAAGTGGCACAAACTGTGGCGTTGACGTTGACGCCGAGGCTAAGGCTGACGATGAAGATGAGGCTGAGGCTGTGGATGAGACTGTGGATGAGACTGAGACTGAGGCTGAGACTGAGACTCATGCTGCCGTTGATTGGCACAAGGCCAGACGATGAGCTGAATTCTCATCTCTGCTCGCATCTTTATTTCAGGCGTCTCCCTAACAAGCTCGCAACTCTCAAGTGCTGTTCAGAAATGAATGCGCATGTGTGTCCACAGATAATGACCAAGTGCCTTCAATTAGCAATCGGCCATTTTGGCATTGAGACATCTGCCCAAAGTACATGTTTGAATAGCTGCCACGGATCTCTGTGTACAAGTATTTTGCCAAACAAACCTCGTTGCTTCTAGTCCGATTCTGGTGCAATTTGTCAGGGCTAAAATGTTGCACCCAACTGTGTTTACATTTGAAGCGCAGGGCTTTAACTTGAATGGGTAAATAATTTCCATTTCCATTCCAAAGACAAAAACCCATTTATTATTTAGAAATAAAAAACTCTTTCCGCGTATGCCGAAAAAGTTCTAACATTTCAAAATCGGACGTAATTTACCCGCGATATGCGGCGTTTATAGAGCTTAACGAGCGATCTACTCATCATTCGTTAATAGAACATTGCATCTTCATTTGTTGTCTCTGTACTGCAAATCTATTGAAGAAAGTATGTCTCGTTACAAATTACTCGCTGTTATACTCTCGTTATATTCAAACTGTTAGTGAAGCACTCGTTGCTTTAATAGAAATGCAATAATTCGCATGTGTTATAAAAACGAAATCGTAAAACATCTCGCTACAGCTTACACGCTAGGAGCAGCATTCGCCTGCAACTCGCTGAAAACGGCTCTCATTAGTGAAGCACTCGCTGCTTTAACAGGAATGCAATTATCACAAAAAGAGTTAACTGCTCGCTACAGCCATGTTGAACTGAACCTCTCGTTACAGCATGCTCGTTAGTAAAAAACGCCCCACAATCGCAATGTAAGCAACTCGCCAATTATTAACTCGCCACTCAGGAATTTTGCATGCCTTTTGAATTTTACGCTGCCTTCAACAAGGAGAGGCAGGGAAACGGAAGGGCATTGCTACAGCACACTCATTATCCGTGGCATTGGACGTGCATCTGTTAAGTAAATCACTCATCGGGTCCGGTCGCAACTAAGATGCCGAAAATCAAAGACCCAACTCAAGTAGCGAACTTAAAAGCCGCAATAAATAAATCTTTTGGGGCAGTCATGGATGCAAACCAAACACAGCCATAACTGATGCGTCTCTGGTGCCGTCAGTTTTGTGTGCCAGAGGCTTTCGGAAGCGTAGCGGAATGTTGCCGGAAGGGTGTCCGGGCCTGGGCTTGGGCTGGGGAAGGGGTTTTTGGGGCTTGGGGCGCTGCTGTCTGCATAATGACCCACAAGCATAGAAAAAACTTTTCTCTTCTCATTTTTGTTATTTTTATATCTTGTTTTTTATTTGTATTTATTTTTGTTGTTGTAGTTTTTTTTCTTTTTTTTTTTTTTGTACCACATGCCAGCAAGTTGGTAATCTTTTGCATCATCGAGAGCGAATGAAGTACGTGTCGTGGCCAGGACGAGGCAAGGACGTGGCCAGAACGCGGCCAGGAAGAGGCTGCCAGTGGCGACTGTTGCGTTTGCTGGTTGTGCTACAAATGCATATAAACAACAAGAAACCCATTCAATGACTGACTGACTGAACCGACTCTCTCTGCCCAACCGACCGACCGACGGTCCGACCGACCGACTAGCTGACTTGAAATTACACAAACGAATCTCGGGAATGGCAATGGCAATGGATATGGGCATGGGCATGGATATGGAGCTGAAAATGGGACTAAGACTCAAAGGGGATTGAGTATCGCGCGTACGTACTCACAGTGTTCGCATATGTATGTGGCCAGCACGTTCATTGGAGCCCCAAAACGTGTTAAGGAGCTGGAGGTTTTTATTTTCAATGCAGGAGCATCATGTCCTTTATCTCGGCGTGTGTGTGCGAGGGGTAAATTTAATCAGTATAGCATTTCCAACAATTTCGACATACAACCTGAATTTAGATAACGAATTATGCATTGGGTCCACATCTTAATTCGTTTTTCGGGCGTTACCAATAGAGATGAGCGCGTGAGCGTGAAATTGGTTTAGATTTTCTCAAACCGTATTTTGAATGGCTTTAGCTCATGCTGAGTAGTGTTTCAAATCATAAAGTCGTTAAGAATTGTGAAGATATAATAGCTCGTGCTAGGGCGTGTTTTGAATAGTTTTAGAATTTCTTAAGTTAAATTGTGTCAATTCGTATTGAATCGTATAGAGTCTAGTATAGCCTTGTCTAAAGATTTCTAAAGTCGTGTTATCAAATGTATCAATACGTTTTGATTCGAGTTTATAATCGCATCGTAATCTGTAACATGCTGAATTGTGTTTAAGTCGAGCTCCTTTAAAGCGTGTGCCAGTCGTGTTTACTCGTGTTTGGCTAAGAATTGTGTTGAGTCGTGTTTAGTCGTGGTCGGTTCGTCTTATTCAAGTAATCGAAAAACGCGCCCATCTCCAGTAACACATACATTTGTTGCACACGTGTGAGTGTGTGTGTGCGTGTGTGCGCGTGTGTGTGTGTCTGGCAAAAAGGCGCCTCAACACGCACGTAACGTGCGCTTGGCTCATTTGTGAAGCCTTAGGCTCGTTTTGCAGAGGTCAGCAAATTTTCATTTCAGCTTCTGCGTTTTTATACACACTCGAAAGCACACTCGCACACAACACACATTGACATACACACAAACACACACGGGCAATTTAGTAGGTCGCCAGGAAATGACAGTTATTGCCTTTGCCCTTAGCCTTTTGCCGAGACCAAGAACGAAGGGAAAAAATAAAATAAAAAATAGCCAGTTCAGATCGTTTTTACACCACAATTACGAGCGCTGAATGAAAATGCAATGGAAATGCCTTTTTAAATGGACCGTCACACACACACACACACATACGCACACACACGCACACATAGAGTGAAGAAGTGAGTCGCCAGTTGTCAATTTGCCACTTCGTCAGTTCGTCCACTCGTTCATTTGTCGCCACCCAAAAAGCATGCAACGTATTTGGCACAAAGCGCAGCGCCCAATTGTATGCAACGTTTTTGTAGCTTGCCACACAGCGGAGCACAATGCGAACGCCCCGCGGTGTGCGGTCCAAGCAGGCGGAGGGTTGGGAGGTTGAGAAGTTGGGTGAGTGGGAAGCCAGCCACATCACGTGTTGACATTGTGGCCATTTTTGGGCCTGTTGTTTCGCATAGCCTGAGCTTATTCTGTTTGTTTCTGCATTGTTCTGTTTCGGTCACTTGTTAACAACCAAATTAAGTTATATGGTCGAATCCTTTAGACGCAGCAAAAAGAGACGGAACCGGCACTCGGCCAGGTCAAGTAGCTGAAAGGCAGCCGCAGAGGCAAAAATAGCAATATGACCAGCCAATTGGGCAGCAAAAGAAAAACAATTGTTACCCAAAGAAGCCAAACAATGGTCAACAATGAAATACAATAGCTGAAGCAGTGAGAGTTATTCACCAAGAAATAACTGGAAGCATAATAAAAATATAAAGCCCATTCATAAAAATATACATCTTACTTGCGGGTATTACCCAGCTTTGCCCGGCCAGTCAGTCAAACATACAAATATACTAAGGAACAAGCAATGCCCATCATTTAAACACCAATTGGTATGTCTTTAGAAATTCACTTACCCAAAGAAGTATTCACATGGACAGGAACGATAACTTCATTGACATCTGTTTGTTGGAGGGAGATAGAGTATTATATTTAGCACTTCACTGAAAGAAAAGAAGTAAAGATAAAGTTACAGTTATAGATGCAAATCAGAGAGTGAGAGAAAGGGAAAGAGAGAGCTTGAATTGATGAGAATCACATAGAAAGGCGGTATTGAACATGATTTATTTAATGTGTTTAATATATAAAATATTGGTGTATAAGTAAAATCGCAACGATTAAGAACAATTTACACTTTCAAAAACGAATATCCAATAGATTTTAACTTAAATCTTTTTAAATAAGTTTAAATCTGATCGGTTGGGAAACCAAGTTATCACAATCAAGACGCAAACTCTTAAATGCATTGTTTATATGATATAGCATAATCTATAATTTATTTTTATGGCGCACTTTATAAGTGAGTGCGAATATTTGAAATGCAAAATTAATTGGAATGTGGAAAGCCACATGCAAAATTTATTTTGTGACAGAACTACCCAGTAATAAAAGTTGACTAGTGTGAAATAATAACCTATAAATAAATAAAATTTCAAAACTCGGTGCAGGTAAGCATAATGATGATGATGATGATGATGACAAGCCAGAATCTTATGCTTCGGAAACTATCTCACTTAACCCAAAAAATAACTCCCAAAAAGCTAACCACACTTTTAAGCTGCTGTTATTCACACGCCCACAAGCAAAAAGTGGGCTTTCATCAACCCATCAACAGAATTCTCCTGCCCCCTAACACACTCTTTCACGCTTGCCAAAACTTTGTCATAATCCAAAGCCAAAAAACCAATAGACCAATCGACCAATAGACCGCACCGTCGTCACCAAATAAACAAAATGAAAAAAAAAAAATAAAAATAAAATAAATCGAAATAGGGAAAACTGAAAGAAAAACCATATTTGAATGACGCAGAGCGAGCAGAGTCACCGAATCGAGAATTTTCACACACGAACGTGTGCAGTTTTTCGCATTGAATTTGGGTTGCCTTTTTTTTCCGACTCGGGATCGCAAAGTACATGAAATGAAACATTTTAACAATAAATGCAAATTTAGCTAAGCCGCACATGCTGACAACAACAACAACAACAACAACAACAACAACAACAATAACTAACAGCCGAATCGCATGACACAAATAGACACACAGCTGCACACGCCCCTACGCGCCCGCCTTTGTGGGCAAAAATCCAAAAGTTTATAAAGCAGCAAAAAAAGAAAAATGTAAAGAAGAGCGACAGAAAAAAAGAACTTTTTAAAAATGAAAAGCAAACACAATATTGATTGCACTCAGCTAGAAGATACCCTGTAAAGACAGACAGCAAATAGTCAACTTAGTGTGGAACCTTAAAAAGCGACACATATCTATTGCCAAAAAAAAAACCATCGTTAGCTGCTTCTTGCAATAGTTTTAACAATTGCTTTACACCTATCATTGTTTGTAATAGCCATGTCTAAAAACAAGTATTCGCTTTCGACAACCAACGTGATCAAATACCAATAGCACATGTATGAAAAACTATTGATACTGACAAACATTATCGATCGACTTATCGAACTAAAGATATATCGATTTTCACCAAAGCCGATTTAATTTCAAAGTGTCGATGTAAGTCGTTAATTTTTTTGTATTACTTGCAAGTTTCTAAAAGAAATCTTTGACATATATTTCGTTACATCGAGCTATCGATTATTTCTTTGGCAACTTGCTTTTTCAATGCTAAAATTCGATACTCAATGCACGATTGCATTACTAATGCATATCCATATAACATATATGTACTTATGTACATACCCTCTGGGCTAAGCAATGCCAGCTGCTGTCAGTTGCCATGCATATGGAGAGCTTTGTGACACTGTGCATGGCCGTTATGTATGACTGTAGGGTATTAGAAAAGCGCACGCAGGCCATGCAAATTCCATTTTTGGCTTCATTTTCACGCGCAGCTGATACACAAATCGCTGTGTTTGGCGTGGGTGTGGCTGTCTGTCTCTCTCTGTGTGTGTGTGTGTGTGTGTGTGTGTGTGTGTGTGAGCGTGAAAAGTGAATGGCAAAATGTGTCAGCAGTCGGTGCACGGGGCGTATGGAGGTCGAGATTCGGTTTCACAAATTTGTTGCCCGTTTTTGGGCGCGCCTGACCAATTGTATGATTTAACATGACAATGTGTTTGGTGCTTTGCATTCAAATTGTGTGCGACTGTGTGTGAGTGTGTGGGTGTGTATGTCAGTGTGTGTGTTTATATTTGCGTATATACAAGCACAATGGACTGGCTTAGCCGTTATTCAATCACAAAACTGTACACAGCCATGAATCTAAAAATAACAGAATAGCTTTGAACTGTTGCGACTTTGATGGCAGCCGCACTTCAAATGCTCTTTATCCAAAACACGCAACTGGTGAGCAGGAAAAGCCATAAGCTTAGACAATATACAAATTTTCATTCTTTATTTTCTTATTTTAAAGTTATAAGCACTGATAATACTTTGACTTTGCTTATTATCAAGCTTTTTGGCCTAATTTATGTTAGTTTTTCTAGAAAACCCAACTTGAGGAATTAAAGAAAATAATGGGCCAAGATATCCTGCGAAATGAAACAAAAATGTTTCAATCCACAGTTCCTAAATCTAGTTGCTCGGTTCCGTGAGCAAACGGACAGACAGACAAACAATATGCAAATGCACCTAGAGATACTGAAGCAGAAGAGTTATACTTTAAAGCATTTTATGCTTAGAAAAATATCTATATTTTAAATAATATTACATAAATTGAGTTGAAAAATGTATAATAAAGCTGAAGAAATCGCTGTTGGAGCTATAAAAGTATAGGGTGCATTAAAAATAAACGACTTGAAGTTTTATAAAGTAAACACAATAAAAACACACACACACACACACACACAGACACACACAATGCACACACACAATGCACACACACGTGCATAGAAATTGTTTGGTTCGCTTTGGTTGTGTTATAGATGACTGCATATAAACTGAAAATCGAAAACCATATTTCAATTTGCGGCATTTAGCACACACACACACGCAGACACATACTCACACCCACAGGCAGAAATATACATGAAGTGTAAGGACACGCATGATGAAATTGATACGCTTTGCCGTAACGAGCGGCAATTTTTTTTAAATACCCTCAACTGTTGCAGCAGCGGGTATTTGGAGTCAAGTTTTAAGCTGCTTATAAAAGTCGTGGAATTATGTTTATAACAATGCTATTGTTGCCTGCGGTGCCTGAGCTTCAGTTAGCCATGGAAGCGCGACTAGAAGTTACCCTAGAAGCAATTGTTTTTTATTGCTTTTGTCAGTTTAAGACATGAAACTGAGTCTATGACGAATAAATTTACAATCCTCGCCGATAAACACTATGAGAAAAGTCGCTCGTTCGACGCACGTATCGACAAGCTAGGCTACGTTTTAACGAAACTAGTTTTATTAAAGATCCTGAATCGGACATTCACTTTTAAACCATTTTTGTTCTGCAAATTAACTGAAGGTGCCACATTACGTGCCTTATATTATAGAATTTTAAAAGTTTGCTGGAATAAAGACAACTCCACACGAAAATTGTTAGCTCTACCTGTGGCCCAAATATTATGTTGAATGCCGTGCATAGTAGTTGGAAGTCAACTAAACAGCTGTGCTGCCGCGTGGAATTTCAGCTATTCGACATAGAATTGTTAACTAGACAACAATCTCGACTATTTTGGGCTATTTTGTGTGTGTGTGTGTGGGGGGGGGGGGGAGCTCGGTAGGCTTAAGCCTTGGCTGTGGCATTGGGCGTGGCAAATGGTTGAAATGTGAATTTGTTTGAGGCAGCGCTGACCAGAACCAACTAATCGAGCCATGTACCAAATAAATTACAGTTCTCTCCATGTGTGAGTGTGTGTGTGTGTGTGTGAGGAGGGGTGGGGGGGGGTCTTTGTTACTTGTTAGATGCCCAAACGATTTTACACCTCGTCTGCAGCGGCGGTTCAACATTTGCGGTAGATGCTTGTCCGCGCTCGCGTAAGTGTTTGTGTGCGTAAGTGTGTGTGTGTGTATATATGAGTGTGTGTGGTCCGCTTCGGACATAAGCTGAAGCAAGCAGCCGTATGGCGCCTAAAGCTACATACATCATTCAACAATGAGCGATTCGGTCTGTGTGTGTGTGTGTGTGGGTGTGTGTGCGTGTGTGTGTGTGTGTATGTGTGCCGGATGTCATTTGTATAAACTTATATGGCGGGATTTTCGACTGGCTTGTTCTGCGCTTTTGCACTCCCTGCTTCTATCTCACTGCCACACACACTTCAACGCACCCTTTCGCGCTGTCCCTCCTCTCTCTCTCTCTCTCTCTCTCTCTCTCTCTCTCTCTCTCTCTTTTCCCATCGCTCTCTCATTCTCTCTCTCGCTTGCGCGCACAATTGTGTGCACTGGTAGCCAAGCGGAAAAGTGAAATAAGCGCAACTTTTATGTCAGAACGTAGCCAGTCAATTTGGGCAAACGGATAGCGGATAGCGTATAACGGGTAATGGATAATGGATAATACTTTATGGAGTACAGTGCACCCAAGAGTATGCTACAATGCACAGCAGCAAGCCAATGCGATCGGAGACCGCGCTACGCCAGCTAAATGCTTAAGGAGCATACAGTGAACACACGGTAAAGACGACATTCCATTAAGAAAACAAAAGTATTTTCTGCGTTTCGGTTGATTTTAACGTTACCACCTATTTCCTGACTGTTCTGCTCTCAGCAGCTCCTATTTCCACTTGGCAAAGTGTATTTGCGGCAAATGGTGAATCACGTTCAAAGAACATTTGCATAGATAAACCTAAGATCGATTAGCCTCGAGCCGCATTTCCAAAGAATGTTGTTGTTGTAAGCGCTAAAGTGGATTGCATAATAATTAATACTTTTTTCACCTATTTTCCACAAGTGCGGATGGAATTATGCCCATGTCCTTCCACCTTAACCGAATCAATCATTCAGTAAAAAAGTGAAATGCATGGAAACAAATTTTAGTTCATAGAAAAATCCCAAATTGGAATTCC